GCAATGGGTTGGGTATATTAGGGAAATTGGTAAGTGCACCTGTTGTGATGAGCACCAGGTGTTGTACGGAGGTGCTGAATCACTATTTTGTACACCTGATACTGATACCGCACTGTATATTAACTAACTGGAATTCAAATAAAAATTTAAAAAATGAAATTAGGCAAAGGAACTGAACAGACATTTTTCCAAAGAAGGCACACAAATGGCCAACAGATACATGAAAAGGTGCTCAACATCACTATCCATCAGGAAAACACAACCCTCTAGCTCCATGAAAACCATGAGCTATTCCCTGACACCTGTTAGAATGGCCATTATCAAAAAGAAAAGCGCAAGGGGCACCTGGGTGGCTCAGTCAGTTAAGCGTCTGCCTTCAGCTCAGGTCATGATCCCAGGGTCCTGGGACTGAGCGCCACATAGGGCTCCCTGCTCTGTGGGGAGACTCCTTCTCCCTCTCCCTCCACCCTTCCCCACAGTTCGTGCTCGCTCTCAAATAAATAAATAAAATCTTAAAAGAAAAAAGCCAAGAGATAAATGTTGGTGAGGATACAGAATGAAGGGAACCCTTGTGCACTACTGGTTGGTGAGAATGCAGCTGATACAGCAACTACGGAATATAGTATGGAGATTCTTCAAAAACTTAAAAACAGAATTGCCATATGAGCCAGCAATCTCATTTGTGGGTATATATTCAAAGGAAATGAAAACAGGATATTGAAGAGAGATCTACACTCCTATGTCATTAATTCATAATAGCCAAGATCTGGAAACAACCCAAGTGTCCATCAATATATGAAGGGATAAAGATGTGCTATTTATACGTATCTCTCTATATAATATATATGTATTTATTATATATAGTATTATATTATTCAGTCATTAAAAAGAAGGAAATCCTGCACTTGCAACAACACAGATGGACCTTAAGGGCACTATGCTAAGTGAAAAAGTCAGACAGAGAAAGACAGAAACTGTATGATATATATGTGGAATCCAGAACCGCCAAACTCATGGAAACAGAGAGTAGAAGAGTAGAAAGGTAGTGATCAGGGACTGGAGGGTGAGAGAAATGGGGAAATTGTGGTCAAAGGGTATGAACTTCCAACTAGAAGATGAAGATGTTCTGGAGATCTATATGCACAGCATTGTAATGACAGCTAACAATAATATCATACACTTGAAAGTTGTTAAAAGAGAAAACCTTAAATGTTTTCACCGCAAAAAGTAAAGGCAAATATGTGACAGGGCAGAGGTATTAGCTAATGTATAGTGGTAACTGTTTTGCAATATATGTGCATCAAATCAACACACTACAAACCTTAGTAAACTTACACAATGTTTTATGTAAATTATGTGTCAAAAAAGCTAGAAAAAAAATAAATCCTTTTTTCAAGAAAGAAAAAAGAAAGGAAAGGTAAAAGAAGGAAGGAAGGAAGGAGGGAGGGAGGATGGAGGGAGGAGGGAACAGGAAACAAGAGTTCTTGGGAGAAATGGTTGATGGGGGCAGTGGAGGGGCTAGTGCAGGGTACAACAGCCAACATGAAAGTGTTCTCAATAGCTAAAACTGGATTAATTTGAGTAGTATTGCTTACAATCCAAAGAATGAAATAAATGCCCTGGAATCCATACTGATGTACATTAATAAAGGAATAAATAAATGGAGAAGGAACAATATTGCTTATAGAAAAATTCCACTTAATAGGAATGAAAGAAATATAAAAACTCCATTAGAATACCAGAGTAATAATTGCTACAGGCAAGATCCAGTGATGGATGCTAAAATTAGTGATCAAAGTTTAAGCAGAAACAGGATGTTTACACAGTCTACCAGTTTCTCCCTCAAATACCTAGTATTTACAAAGGAAAAACAGTAACTGCACAGTGGAGAATCTTGGTAGACACCACTGCAGCCAAGTGATCAAGGTTAACATCACCAGTAATGCATATCAACTTAATGTGCTGCTCCCTAATGAGATGCAGTGAAAGTGCTGTGAATAATATTAAGACTGATGAATCACAGGCCTGTTGTACTCCTGAAATAATACATGTTAATAATTAAAAATTAAATCTTAAAAAAAAGAAAAAGCATAATCTCAATATACTCTTCAGACATCAGGTAAAACTAAGTAAAAACTTTCTTCAAAATAAGTAATCACTTCTCTTCAGTGTCAATGTCATAAAAACAAGGACAGCCACAGATTGGAGGAAAGAAAGTAGACATGACAACTGTAACACAAGGTGGAATCTTGGTGGGATCTTGGATTGGATCTGAAGCAAAAAATGTTCGATTGTGGAAAAATGAGGTGAAATCCAAATCCAAATCAGTTTATATTTTAGGTATAATTTTATATGAAGGATAGTTTCTTAGTTTTGGTTAAATATTTTATGGTTATGATGTTATGGCAAGATGTTAACATAGAGGAATCTTTGGTAAAGGATATATTGGCAACCTCTAAGATATTCCCCAATGATCTCTGAGTCCTGGTATTTACACCCTTGTGTAACCCCGAATCCTTGAGGAAATAGTGATTCATTTCTACTGAAGAGAAAGTGGCAGAAGTGGTGAAATTCACATAGAAAGTTAGGTTGCAAAGACTATGACGTTTGTGTTGGGTATCCTTCCTTGTTCTCTCACATGTTCACTCTGAGGAACATCTGGCTGTCATATTTGTGCTGCTGTATGGAAGGAAGGGAATGATGTCTCTGGCCAATAGCCATGTGAACAAGCCTGGAAGCATATCCTCTCAATCAAGCCTTGATATGGGACTACAACTGCAGGCAATACCTTGTTTGCAACCTTGTAAGAGACCCTGGACCCAAAGCACCCAGCTAAGCCTCACCCAGATCTCTGGCTCATAGAAACCCATATTAATATTGTTTTAAGCTGCTACATTTTAGAGTAATATGTTACACAGCAATACATAATACAAGAAATCTTCCTATTTTTGTAACACCTCTGTAAACTTAATCTCAAAATTAAGAAGTTTTAAAACAATACACACATCCTTACACATTTTATTCATATATATACACACATATGTATACAGATTAGTGTGTGTGTGTGTAGTTTGAATTACTGTTGTTTTTTCTAAAGATTTTATTTATTTGAGAGAGAGCACAAGAGGGCAGAGGGTCAGAGAAAGAAGCAGACTCCCTGCTGAGGGGGAAGGCCAATGTGGAGCTTCATCCTGGGACTCCAGGCTCATGACCAAAGCTGAAGGGAGATGCTTAACCAACTAAGCCACCCAGGTACCCTTTGAATTACTATGGACTCTAGAGTCAGACAAACCTAGATTCAAATGCCACCTCTTAACACTTAATAATAGTCAAGCACTTGTATTGGGCCAAACATTAAATTTCTCAGTATTAAGATTTTAAAATCCTGATGTTTATATTAAGTATAAAATGATATCCACATCTACTATAACAGATGGCATTTAGTACGTTCTAGACAAACGGCATTATTATTAGTTTATATTTATAGTCACCTATTATTTTCTTCTCATTCGAGGAATTCAACTCGAATTCAGTATTATAATACTGAAAGCAGAGACTGACCCTGTTTTTCAGGCCCAATCCAATCTAAATCACTAAGTTTTAGAGCTATCAGGGGCCTTCCAGCAGCTTTTCAAGCCTTTCCTCCCACCATTATCCACATATGAGTACCAAAGATATTAAATGACTTGTCCAGGAGAATAGATGATAGAGGAGCTGAAAGCAGGGTTCAAGATTTGGGGAGACACTACCATGCAGTGAACGACCTCTTGCTTTAAACAGACTGTACTAGAAGGCCTATTCTGTTGCTTACAAACAGCAGTATGTGTGGGGGCACCTGGATGGCTCAGTTGGTTGAGCATCTGACTCTTGGTTTCGGCTCAGGTCATGATCTCAAGTGTGAGATTAAGCCCTTGTCATGCTCCACATTCAGCAGGGAGCCTGCTTGAGATTTTCCCTCCCTCTCCCCCGACCCTTCCCACCCTCAAAAAAAAAAAAAAAAAAAAAAAAAAAACCCTAAAAAAAAAAAAAAAGGCCAAAACCCCCCCCCCAAACCCAGCATTACGTGAGACCATACTGTCTGCTGACAAAGTAGCAATATCAGTGTCTTGGTTTCCCAGAGAGTAAAAAACCTACCTGATAGGATTATCATGAGCATTAAATGAGATAACATACAGAAGTCCCTCACTGCCGTGACCACCACACATGGATGCTGAATAAACCTTTTTTTCCCTTCCTTCTTTACGAGCCCAGGCTCTTCACTATGATATGCTGCCTTCTCAACTATCAGGCAGACCGTGAAATATGCAGGGTAATTCTGTTTAGCTGTATTTTAAAGGATTCAAAATGTAAAACTGAATTAATGATAGTCTTAAAATTAGTCTGAATAGTATAAACCTAATGCATTTAGTCCTGACCTGGGTTTCCTTTCCTATAATACACTGTAAAGAGGGGTATCACATCAAAGAGAACATTGTATTGACATGCGTTACCGGTCATGTCAGCCTTGATAACTTGACTAAAGTGATGTCTGCCAGGATTCTCTGCTGGAAAGTTACTTTTCATTATAAATACTAAATATTTGAGGAGAATCATGAAATGGAAACCGAGAAGGGAGAGAGAGAGAACATGCACAAACAAGCAAGAGAGTGAGCACATGCACATATCCCAAAGCCTGGTGTTCAGTGTATTTCCAATACAATAAACAATTAGTAAATTGCACGATGGGATGATCAAAGACTCTTCCCAAAGTAATGCGATGTTTTGAAATACTCAATGCCAAGTCTTGTCAAAAGCCCTCTGAAATTATAAATACATTACTTTCAGACATTCTCTTTTACCTAGGCATTTATGTCTTCAAAGACTTCTAGAAGAATAGTCAGATACAACCTCCCCAAAGAAAAATTGTACTGCCTTTCCCCCAAGAACTTACATTTGCTTAAGTATTTAAAACCCTCTATCACAAATTCCGCCAGCTTGCTTGTCATCGCATTGAGACTCACCGATCTGCAGATACCGGAGTCCCTTCCGGACTGGAATATCCTTCCAAATCTGAAATGTTCACTTGTGTTTGCCTTGAGGTTACTATCTGGCTATTCTGAAAAAGTATGGTTTTCAAGTCCTGGGAAATAGTATCACTATCTGGAAGAGGAGACTGTACAACTTGGAAGTCCGGTGAAGATTTAGGTCTTAGAAAACCTAAAGATTGTTGATTCTGTGCTACAGGTTCACCGGTCAATAATTTGGAGGTTGGTTCCAATGATCTTGAAGATATAGTTTGTAGGTCAGAGTTAAACTCACTATTCATCCTTGTTTTAGAAGCAGGATCCAATGAGTGAAATCTTTTATCTAAGGTTCCACTATCCAACTTGGAAGGAGTCTTGGGATAAAGAGTTATACGAACACAAGAAAGTGCTTTTCTATTTGAGGGCGGAGTAGATGCAGATGTTACTAATGTACACTGATTTGGGGCTGACTGGGACACCACATTATCGAACTTGGCTTCAACATTTATCATATTGGAAATGTATGATCTAAACTTATGCTGGTTATTCTTTTCTACTGTATAATCCTGACCTTGAGGAAGAGGGGAATGGTATTTTCCCATGTGATCTACATCTGGGGTTTTGCTTTGTTCAAAGAGCTGACGTTGTTCAAGAAAAATGGAAGAAGGAATGTCTGAAGCTATATAATCCTGACTTTGAGGAAAGGGACAGTGGTTCTCTCTCATTTGATGATCTAAATGCGGGGTTTTGCTTTGTTCAAAGAGTTCTCGTTTTTCAAGAAAAATGCGACAAGGAAGGTTTGGAGCTAGGTAATCCTGATGTTGAGGAGGGGGAGAATGTTTTCTCACATGGTGATCTGCATGTGAGGCTTTGCTTGGTTCAAAGAGCTCTCGTTGTTCAAGAATAATGTGCGAAGCAATATCTGGAGTTATAGTTACATTCTTCTCTTTTACTCCTAGTGTGGAACTTGGTCTGCTCATTCTAATGAAGGTATGATTATCAGAAAAATGAACTTCCTTGACATTGCTACCCTTTTCACTGGTACTGGGCTCAGAATCACTGCCTTTAAAATCTAATCTTTCTAAGAGTTTTTCTTCTTGCTGAGAATGTTCAACAGATAGTTTTTGGCTTTGCCTACCACTTTCTGCTAAGATAGTCACAGCTTTATCTGGTGAATGACTAACAATTTTAAATGACGAAGGGGAAGAGGTTCTCTGTTCTAGATCTTTGGGAGGATTTTGCTCTTCAGTGAAATGAGAATTAAATACCCCCACAGATGGTCCAGTACACTGGCTACCTTCAGTAACACCAACCTTAAAAACAGAGGAATCTGAAAAGCATTTAGAATGTCGGTGAGATGAAAAAGTGATGGAAGTAGTAAACTTTTTCAAGGGTTCTGGGGGCAGCATTTGTGATGAAGAATGACAATCCATTTCTTCAGATGGCACACAAGCAGGTTCTACTAATTCTGACAGCCAAGGGTCTATCTTTTCATGGAATGGCATTCGAAGACCCTGGCTAATTCTGAAGTCATCAGCTGTAAAGTTTTGAAATGGGGAATGACTTCGTAACTGCAAGGAATTCCAAACTTTGAAATGGGGGTTACTCTGGTCTAGTGATTTGGAAAGGTCGATGTGTCTGGTTCTCCATGATGATGGACTCCGTTGTCCTCTGATCATTTCTGAGGGGTCAGCAGATCTGAAAACACAAGGGTGACTATCCAATTGTGGTTGTTCAGCAGTTAGAGTCCTGAAACATCCTTTTTCATGGCTCTCAATAATAATGTGACTACATACAGCTTCTGGCTTGCATCCTATTCCCCGTGGACTCCGTACACCCTAGAAGATATAAACAAGTTCTTACTTGTAGTCCGAATAGTTATATAAACCAGTTACATAATCCAGGCTAAGATTTAACCACGAAGGTCCTGTTGATCTATTACAATAGAACAGGTAGGAACATAACAAAAAGGACAGTTAACTATAGGATAAAATGGCTCATGATAACTAAGACCCCATAGGTTTTTTTTTCCCCCCACTAACGGTACATTTATTATTTTTTCTTTTTTAAATTTTTTTTCATTTTTTTAAAATTTCTTTTCAGTGTAACAGAATTCATTGTTTATGCACCACACCCAGTGCTCCATGCAATTCATGCCTTCCATAATACCCACCACTAGGCTCACCCAACCCCACACCCTCCTCCCCTCCAAAACCCTCAGATTGATTCTAAGAGTCCACAGTCTCTCATGGTTCATGTCCCTCTCCGATTTCCCCCAACTCCCTTCTCCTCTCATTCTCCCCATGTCCTCCATGTTATTCCTAATGCTCCATAAGGAAGAGAAACCATATGATAATTGAATCTCTCTGCTTAACTTATATCACTTAGCATAATCTCTTCCAGTCCCGTCCATGTTCTTAAAAAAAGTTGGGTATTCATCCTTTCTGATGGAGGCATAATACTCCATAGTATATATGGGCCATATCTTCTTTATCCATTCATCCATTGAAGGGCATCTTGGTTCTTTCCAAAGTTTGGCGACTGTGTCCATTTCTGCTATGAACATTGGGGTACAGATGGCCCTTCTTTTCACTACATCTGTATTTTTCGGGTAAATACCCAACAGTGCAATTGCAGGGTCACAGGGAAGCTCCACACTATTTTCCAAAGTGACTGCACCAACTTGCATTCCCACCAAGTGTAAGAAGCTTCCCCTTTCTCCACATCCTCTACAATACACATTGTTTCCTGTCTTGCTAATTTTGGCCATTCTAACTGGTGTAAGGTGGTATCTCAATGTGGTTTTGATTTGAATCTCCCTGATGGCTAGTGATGATGAACATTTTTTCTTGTGTCTGTTAGCCATTTTCATGTCTTCTTTGGAGAAGTGTCTGTACATGTAAGACCACATTGTTAATTTCTTCTAAAAATGTTTCACTAGGGGCGCCTGGGTGGCTCAGTGGGTTAAAGCCTCTGCCTTCAGCTCAGGTCGTGATCCCAGGGTCCTGGGATGGAGCCCCGCGTCAGGCTCTCTCCTCAGCGGGGAGCCTACTTCCTCCTCTCTCTCTGCCTGCCTCTCTGCCTACTTGTGATCTCTGTCTGTCAAATAAATAAAATCTTTAAAAAAAAATTAAAAAAAAAAAAAAGTTCCACTAGGGGTGCCTGGATGGCTCAGTGGGTTAAGCCTCTGCCCTCAGCTCCGGTCATGTTCTTAAGCCCCACATCGGGCTCTCTGCTCAGCAGGGAGCCTGCTTCCCTCTCTCCCTCTGTCTGCCTCTCACTTACTTGTGATCTCTCTCTGTGTCAAATAAATAAAATCTTAAAAAACTTTTTTAAAAAATGTTTCACTAAACTAACAAAAGTAAAGACTACTTTGGTCCCTCAGTATTCTCAGCTATTTGCTTTTAGTAACAGAGGTCCCTTACCCCAACTTTTGCTGGTCACATGGCCACAAAACTGGAGACCTTTCCAGGTTCCTTTACCTAGGTATGACCGTTATGACTAGGTTTAGGCCAATGGTATATGAGCAAAAGCAGTAAGTATAAATTCTGCTTCCTGTCCTTAGAAAATCAAATTCTTGACCTCCATGTTCCCCTACTACCACCATCACTACCATCACCATTACTTTTGCCAGCTGAAAATGGTAATATCTAGAACAATCTCAGAAGCCATGTGTGCAAATGGCTTAGCTGCCAAGTCTGCTTGAGTCTTTGGATACCTTTAAGGAACAGAGCTCCTCTTCCTATCCTAGACTACTATAAAAAAGGAAAATAAAATTCTACCCTATGTGAGCCATTGCATTTGGGGGTCCCTTTGTTACAGAAGCTTGGCCTATACCCTAATATTATACCAATAAGAATAAGGAAAGGAGAGGCACCTGGGTGGGTCAGTTGGTTAAGCAACTGCCTTTGGCTCAGGTCATGATCCTGGGGTCTCAGGATCAAGTCCCGCATCGGGCTCCCAGCTCCATGGGGAGTCTGCTTCTCCCTCTGACCTTCTTCCCTTCCATGCTCTCTCTCGTCTCTCTCTCAAATAAATAAAATCTTTAAAAAAAAAAAAAAAAGAGGAATAAGGAAAGGACTATTCCTAAAAATAGGAAAAAGAACGAGTACTTCTTTCTGGGGTACTGGATCAGAAGCTAAGCTACCATAAAGATAAAACTTCTTTGAGATTTCTGTTTTACCTATGAAGTCATTACCTGGCATCCTATTTGATGATAACAGCCACATTTGATTTCGAATAAAAATACCTAAAATTATGCTGTCACTTCTGACGTAATGGAGTAGTTGTACCTTCTCCTATTTGTCTGATAAGTGTAACTAAAAGTCCTAGACATTATATATAAAACAAACATAAGAATTATCTGAAAGATGGAGAGAAGGCAGGCGGGCTAGGGATTCTGGGACCAGAGGAAGGACATGGTAGTGAAATCCCTGGGTTTTCTTTGTAACTCATATATTCCGGATTTAGGAGCTAAAGAGGCCAGCAACACAGGAAAGAAAGGGCATAGACAAAGTCTCTAATAAAAACCGACCCTCATTAGCTTAAAAAACAAAACAAAACAATACAAACAAAACAGTAAAAGCAAAGTCTAGCAAGACAGAAAACTTTTAGACCATAACTGCTCTATTCCAGCCAAACACCATGGTGGGGGGTTGGGGGAGACACCTGCTTTTCTCATATCAGAAAAGGCTAAATGAGGAGCCTAAACCTCTGTCCTTGCTAAATGACAAGACACCCCAACATCTAAGCCACGGTATTAGAGATGGCCAAGCAGGGGCCCAGGACCTATTTTTAACCCATGATGGCTGATAAGGAGCTACCCCTTCCTGTGTGGAGACCACACAGGGAAACTGGACTTTTCCTTACAGCAGCAATGATGGGCCCCTCTCTCTCCCAGCTATAGGCTGGAAGAAAATTTTGCAACCCTCATATCCAATAAAAGACTTGTATCTAACACACATAAGGATGTCAAAACCTTAACAGCTTAAAAAAAAAAAAAAAAGACAACCCAATCAGAAAAATGGACAAAACCCCAGCATTTCTCTTACTAGAATAGAGATGGGGCATAGGGGCATAACGTGTTCAATACCATTTACATTAAGGAAATGCAAATTAAAACTAGGACTACTTTTGCAGAGCAAAGGAAACAGTCAACAAAATCGAAAGACAACCAACAGAATAGAAGAAGATATTTTCAAATGACATATCAGATAAAGGACTAGTACCCAAAATCTATAAAGAACTTATCAAACTCAACACTGAAAGAAATAATCCAGGCAAGAAATGGGCAGAAGACATGAACAGACATTTCTCCAAAGAACACATACAAATGGCCAACACGAAATAATGCTCAACATCACTTGGCATCAGGGAAATACAAATCAAAAACACAATGAGATATCACTTCACACCAGTCAGAACGGCTAAAATTAACAAGTCAGAAAAACGACAGATGTTGGTGAAGATGCAGAGAAAGGGGAACCTTCCTACATTGCTGGTGGGAATGCAAGCTGGTGCAGCTACTCTGGAAAACAGCATGGAGGTTCCTCAAAAAGTTGAAAATAGAGCTACCCTACAACCCAGCAATTGCATTACCCCAAAGAAACAAATGTAGTGATCTGGAGGGGCACCTGCACCCCAATGTTTATAGTAGCAATGTCCACAATAACCAACTTGGAAAGAGCCCAAATGTCCATCAACAGATGAATGCATAAAGATGTGGTACGTATGTGTATACACACACACACACACACACACACACACACACACCCCAGAATATTAGTCAGCCATCAAGAAAACGAAATCTTAAAAAAAAAAAAATTAAAAAAAAAAAAAAAGAAAGAAATCTTGGGGCACCTGGGTGGCTCAGTGGGTTAAAGCCTCTGCTTTCGGCTCAGGTTATGGTCCCAGGGTCCTGGGATGGAGCCCCGCATCAGGCTCTCTGCTCAGCAGAGAGCCTGCTTCCCTCTCTCTCTGCCTGCCTCTCTGCCTATTGTGATTTCTGTCTGTCAAATAAATAAAATCTTTAAAAAAAAAAAAGAAATAAATCTTGTCATTTGCAACAATATGGATGGAACTAAAGGATATGCTAAGCAAAATAAGTCAATAACAGAAAGATAATTATCATATGATCTTACTCATTTGTGGAATTTAGGAAACAAAACAGAGGATCATAGGGAAAGAGAGGAAAAAAATAAAACAAGATGAAACCAGAAATGGACACAAACCATATGAGACTCTTAATCATAGGAATCAAACCAAGGGTTGCTGGAAGAGGGTAGGGATGGAGGGATGGGGTAACTGGGTGACGCACATCAAGGGGGGCATGTGATGTAATGAACACTGGGTGTTATATAAGACTGATGAATCACTACCTCTACCTCTGAAACCATAAGGTAGCCTTAAATGTTAATTAATTGAATTTAAATATAAAATAAAATAATTTTTAAAAACTCATCTACTGAGATGATCATATGGTTTTTATCCTTTTGTATGTTAATGTAATGTATCATGTTGATTTATTTGCAAATATTTAACCACACTCGCATCCCAGGAATAAATCCCACTTGATCATGGTGAATAATTTTTTTAATGTATTATTAGATTGCGGTTGCTAATATTTTGTCAAAGATTTCTGCATCTATGGTCATAAGACATACCTGTCTACATTACTATTTTTTTGTAATGTCTTTATACAATTTTGGTATCAGGGTAATGTGGCATTATAGAATGAATCTGAAAGTTTCCTTCTTCTATTTTCTGGAATGGTTTGAGAATAGGTATTAACTCTTCTTTAAATGACTGGTAGAATTAACCTGTGAATCCACCAGGTCCT